TTGAGAAATAAAGTAGAAAGAAGGTTCGGAATGGGGTTTGCATCATCCAATTGATTCCAGAATGAGATAGCGCTAGTCAGGGCAAAAAATCTATTGGATCTCCTATATCTTTCACTCTAACCCTGAGTGAGATAGCGCTAGTAAGGGCAGGAAAATCTCCCGGATCTCTCCTGTTCTCTCACTCTAATGTTGGCCGCAAATATACAGGGTGAGTTACTAAGCGCGCGGTGGTCCATATCTCCGATACTAACGGAGATCGGAGAAAAATCTAAATACAAAACTTGTAGACAAACATGAATACTACATTCCTAAATTATTTTCCAGTATACAGGGTGGCCCAATAATTAGTAGTGACACAAAGTTATGTTTTTTTAAATGACTTTCCCTGTATATTATAACATTTCTAAATTCTGCAGAAAATTCTAGACATATTTCATGTATAATGTCATATACCTATCTTCAACTGTTTCGGAAATATTGACAGTTGAAAATTGACTTTTTTTGCATCTTTGACAGACTGTGAAACCTAAACGGTTAATTTTAGAAGAAAACGGTTTCTACATTCCTGGCTTAGATTTTCATAAGCTATCATTTGACAGCAACTTTAAATAATCGAAGATTAATAATTTGGGCGGAATTTTTAGTCATGGATTAAATTCAAAATTGGTGCCAAATGATAGTTTATGAAAAACTAAGATAGGAATGTAAAATCCGTTTTCTCTAAAATTAACCGTTTAGGTTTCACAGTCTGTCAAAGATGGAAAAAGTCAATTTTCAACTGTCAATATTTCCGAAACAGTTGAAGATAGGTATATGACATTATACATGAAATATGTCTAGAATTTTCCGCAAAATCCAGAAATGTCATAATATACAGGGGAAATCATTTAAAAAAACATAACTTTGTGTCACTACTAATTATTGGGCCACCCTGTATACTGGAAAATTTAGGAATGTAGTACTCATGTTTATCTACAAGTTTTGTATTTAGTTTTTTCATCGATCTCCATTAGTATAGGAGATATGGACCACCGCGCGCTTAGTAACTCACCCTGTATGTACTGAGTAGATGGGCAAAAAGCTATTCCAACCTTCTTACTACTTCATAGCTCTTGAGCCACTAAAATGAGGTGCATGTATATCTACAATATATCCATCTGAGGCAACTATTAATCCAGCTTTTAATAATGTGTACTTCTCATGGTTAGAATAAGACTGGCATTGGATACGAAAATGGGAACCTTTTGGAGCCATATAAGCAAAGTCTATATAGGCAAAGAATTGGCCGCCGAATATTTGTCTTGGGATTATAGAGAATGTTTGAAAATTCGGTTATATGTGTTATGTGTTTGAATAAAATTGTTTCTATCTCTTCACTTCTATTGAATGATAACCTAAATTGTCTGTAACAAATCTTGCCATTATGCTTTCTCGCACTAACGACATTGCCAAACCATCATGTTGCCGAGATGAGTAATGCATAAAAGATTTTAAAAATCTTTCTGAAAGACCTTGTCGCAACTTTATTAAAAACGTAATACGTTGCTTTTTGGTAACAATTCTATAATTGCTGCATATAAAAACAAGACCACAATATCCATACAAGTCCAAGAACTGTCCTTTTGATAGGGAATTTGAAGATTTAAAATCATCATCTTCAAAATTAATCTCAAGATATTCACCATCAAAGTTGCCATGGGCTTAATAAGAACTAATCATACATTTTCAAAAAAATACGCCCTTGTGACGAGAATCAAAATACCTTTAAAACAAGGTACCACTTGACCCATCTTTCCTATCTAAAAAATAGTGATGAAAGTCACCTCACTCAGGAGATGCCCTCTGGCGAAATACCGATGGGATCAAAAAGCTTCCCTCTTGAATACAAAATTGACGTGTCCAAGCGTTTTTTTAATCGACCTTATAATACCCTAAAACGCCTCTGTTTCGATGTTCTTCGCGATAATCGTGAAACAGCCTGTATAAAATAAAAGTTCCTATTACATACGTCATATTTTCATATACAGGGTGAGTTACTAAGCGCGCGGTCGTCCATATCTCCTATACTAACGGAGATCAAAGAAAAAACTAAATACAAAACTTGTAGATAAACATGAGTACTACATTTCTAAAATATTTTCCAGTATACAGGGTGGCCCAATAACTAGTAGTGACACAAAGCTATGTTTTTTTAAATGACACTCCCATAGAGAGTAATAAGACGAATTAGCTTGTACCCGGTTTAGGCGAATCGAGGCGGTCGGCTCTGCCGAAACCGAGTATAGCCGAGCTGTCGAAGATGCAAGAATTTTGATAACATGAAGGGGCAATAATCAATGATTCACCTTGACGATTCTGCAGTGAAATGGGTATCAGTCAACTGGTCCCATTGAAGCCTATGTGTTTAGTAGCCTGGTCCTGTCTGTATATTTTCAATATTGTTCATTATAGGTACAAAGTGGCCCGTTTATTTGGTCCTATCTTGGTATATGGGAATCTAGATATTTTATGACAAAAAGTTCTACACAAAAGTTGTAGGGCTTAAATCAATAATTAGTTTTTTGTATTTGCATATATACAGGGTGTGTCAAGTCAGTTTGTGTTGCTTTGAAAATTGTCGTTTTCTTCATTATTTTAAATAGCACACCCTGTATATTAAATTTGGGATGGAAAGTACTCTTTCAGATAACAATGCATGGCCAACTTAAAAAAATGTAAAATGTGGAATAACTCAGTTATTTTTGAGTTTAGGGCAATAAGTGCATGGGAAGCTTTTTGGTGAGAAAAACAATCAAACTAGCAAAAAATATACAGGGTGTTTCATTAGAAAAAAGTAATTATTCAAAAATATCTCGAAAACGCGATACTCCATAATTGTTTTTTAGTTTTTACCATTTTATTTAGCCGAAGAAATGCTAGGTGCTAGTTTTCCATCTTAACCGATTTTATAACTCTTATGATAAGCGAGTTAGCAATAGTGCCGACTTAATTTTGAACACCCTGTATATGTCTTGTCACACAAAAAAAGTTTGTTTGAAAGAGTACTTTTCATCTCACTTTTAATAACATATAACATGGTGTGCCATTTAAAAAAATGAAGAACAACGACAATTTTCAAAGTTTGGCAACACCGCAAGACAAACTAAATGAACTTATTTTAGACAAAGTAGACGATATGATGTGTTTCCTTTTGGTCAAAGTCCGACTTTATATAATTTATTTTTAACGTTTCTACAATAATTTAAAAATTGGCCGTTTCCCAAAGATAACCGTAAATTGTTGCGAAACCATGCATAACAACCCTATCAAACTATATACATATATTTATATTTGTCTTTGAATACGCTATCAAAAAATATAAAAATAAACAGAGTGTTCTATTAAAAAAAAAAAATCTGACGTGTCACACTTTTTGACTCCCCCTGTATATGCGCAAATACAAAAAAACAAATTATTTATTTAAACCCTACAACTTTAATTTATATTAAACTTTTTGTCATAAATCCATATACATAGGACAAAATGAACGGGCCACCCTGTACATCCTGTGTTATCTATGCAAGTATTTTTAACTTAATTGTGGATTATCTGGATTTCTACCAATGATGTCTACCTATACATAAATGATCTATTTCTGACCATCATCCCGTAAAAAATGCAACACATAAAAGTATAAAAAATTCACTTTGAAAGAGTATTTTAGTGCCACCCTGTATAGCCACAAGAAAGTCATAGGGAAAAAAATGTTTGCCTTAATATAAGCTACAACATATCCAAAAATTTCGAAAATCCGGTGCCTACAATTACACATTTCCAGTGCCATGTCCTTTACCCCTCTCTTAGGGGTAGAAACCACCCCTAACTTTTTTTTTTCAAATGTAAAGATATGTATTGTGATAGCTCGTTGCAATGGGCATAAAAAAAGGAATATGACCCATTATTTACTTTTGCATTTAATGTAATTATTTTTGACATTAACGCACTATTTCAGGGTTGAGAATCCGAGTATCAGGCATCAAATAGTATGTCAACGTCAGAAATAATTACATAACGTTACAAATGGGGCTTGTTTCGCATTAGGATTCTACCAAGAAGAAATGTTGAAGATATTCAATTGTGTGGAAAAATATGTTTTAATTTTTTTCTCGCTTCCTAGATCACCGAATTGCATAAGTAAATAATAGGTCATTTTCCTTTTTTTATGCCCTTTCCAACGAGCTATCACAATACATATCTTACATTTGAAAAAAAAAAAGTTGAGAGTGGTTTCTACCCTTGAGAGAGGGGTAAATTCCATGAAAAGGCCAAAAAAATGTGCCAAACTAAAAATAAAGAGACCCATTTTTTTAAATTTTTCTAGAAAATAAACAGGCTTTCTGATACTGAATTTATTCCATTTAAAAATTCTACCCTGTATAAATGCTGAATTGGAGTTCTCGTATTGCAACTGTTGCAAATTTATTGAACAAAATATTATACATATAATAGGATTTGCTATAAAAGTGTTAAATTTAGTAAATCATTTTTTATCTACTTTTTCTTTTTATCGTTTGCGGCTTAAGTTCGCAAAGCGAAAGGAGTGATGATTTATTAACTTCAGTCTCAAACAGAACTTAGGAGTTATTTATTTTCTAAATATAAAAAAGAGTTTTTTTTAAGGATCGAATTTGTCTTTTTTTATATTGATTGTTTCATATATAGTTTCCACGTAATATTCTGGCTGAAAGTACATATCAAGTTTTGCTCAAGAAACATCTAAAGTTTATATTGAAATACATGAAAATAAGTATACCTATTCTTCAAATTTTTGGCAAGTATAGGAGCCGGAAAACCATTTTCACCACTACTTATGGAAAAAATGAGTATTGTATTTTCTACTCTTACTGACAGTAGTATCACCTTCACTTTCAATCCAACGCGGACTTTTCTATAGGGCTTCGACTTTCATAGAGCTATCTAGTTACTGATTGAAATTGTCTAATAATTACTTCTTTTCCCAGATTGATGGAAATAGTGGAAAAACTGAAACCTATGGAGAGGTCAAACGTAGATCGACAAGAGTGGCCTTGTACCTTCAAAAAATTGGACTGAAATCCAAAGATATAGTCTTACTATGCTGCAAAAATAATTTGGACAATATCGTTCCAGCTCTGGCAGCACAATATCTTGGTGCAATAGTAGCTTCAATCGATCCGACGCAATCAGTAGCCGATGCCAAACACGCAATTACCTTAGTGGAGCCAAAGGTTATATTTTTCGAAGAAAAATCTTTGGATTTGGTAAGAGACAATATTTCCAAAAAAATCATAGGTTTTATTGACTTCTTAATAGTTGAATGATGTACTTCAAGAATTCGATCAAAAACCACATATGATTTCTATTGGTTCTCTAACTGGCAAGTGTCCTGATATGTCAAAAATTGAAACCGAAGGACAAGGCGAACAGAATTTCGAACCAATCAAACAAAAAGGTTCTGATGTGGCTGTCATATTATTCAGTAGCGGTACAACGTCGGCTCCAAAAGGTATTTATCTGACCAACTGGGGCATGTTGAATGTTGTTGGGTCAGTAATTCAGTAAGCTAATCTATTTAAAGCAACATTTTGCGAAAATTTACGTCAAATATTTTAGGCATAATAATCTAAAAACCGGAATGATGATGCATTTTACATCTCTTTACTGGGTATCTGCATGGTTGACTACGTCCATTTGCATTGTAACTGGCACTTCGAAAGTGATTGGTACTGATATAGATACGGAAAAAATTTTAGAGATTATTGAAAAATACAAGGTAGAAATTTGTTGATTTAAATTTTAGTTGTATAAATTTTCAGTACCTACCGAGCCAAGAAGAACGAAACGATTTCATGATACAGTATTGAGCCATGAGTGATCTACGCATAATAACAACCCAATTTTTAGGTCACTCACATATTCACTTCAAACTTATTGATCTATCGACTAACCAACCTTCCTGTAGAAACTTTCGAAAAATTTGACACCTCTTCACTTTACTCAATGTTAACTGGCGGTTCAACAATTGATCCTCAACAACTATTGGCGGTTAGAAAATGTTTACCGCACACTTATGTGAATTTAGCCTATGGTTCTTCTGAGGGTAGTTTTTTGGTATGTTACAATTATAGTGACAGAAAATTGTCTGATGAGAAAATATCGTCTAGTGGTATGGTGGTGCCTGGTGTTCAACTAAAGGTCTAAAAATATATAATTAAAGTACTATTATTTTAATTAATTATTCTTGTAGTTTTCTGATGTGGACACACGCAAACCATTGGGACCAAACCAAACAGGTGAAATCTGCATCAAATCAGAATACATGATGGGTGGTTATCACAAATTTTCAAACCCAAACGTTTTCGACGAGGATGGTTTCTTAAAAACTGGGGATGTTGGCTATTATGACGAAGACGGTTACGTTTACGTTACCGATCGTATAGGCGAAATGTTTAAGTATCAAAGTTATCAAATTTCGCCGACAGTATTGGAAACTGCCCTGTTACAACATCCGGCTGTAGGTGAAGCTGTGGCCTTTGGTTTATCGGATCCTGTTAATAGGAATTTGCCAGCTGCTTGTGTGGTATTGAAATTTAATGCATCCGAGCAAGAATTGAAAAAATTTATAGAGTCAAAACTTGGAGACCGTTATCAATTAAGAGGAGGCATCAAATTTGTAGAAAAAATTCCAAGAACGCCATCAGGAAAATATCAAAGGAGAGGAGCGAAAGAATTATTTTTAAAGTTACAAAATTAGTTTCCTCAAGCTTAATAAATCCGAACAGAATGTAGCTAAACTAGAAGTTATTTCCGTCTGGGGACAAAATGCCAAAGCCTGGAGGTCACAATTACCTATACTGTTTTCTTGTTTCAATTTCATTTTGCTCTTAAATTAATTTGAAAATAATTTTGAAACAACTGATCAAAAAAATAAGGAGGCAACATCATATATAATATTTTTCTTGGGGCAAATTTCAAGCATCAAACTAATCAAAAGTCTGACTTGGGAAAGAAAAATCATATAAATTCCAACAACGTAAAAATAAAATATATTTTGTTGGATTAACATCGGCCAGCACGTCATTTTCAATTTAAAGTTTCCCTTTTAGTTTTAATTAGTTTTCGATTGAATAAAAATTATTGTTCGCTTACTTTGAGTTATTTTGCCATCCTGCCAACACCATTTCTTTGCCTAAGCCGTGAGGATTTAAGTCGTTCAAGTAGAGTCCTTGATCGGGAAGTTCTCCTATATCATTAACCCTAAAATATTCATAGAAAAGTGATTTTCAAGGAGCATCTGATCTAGTTTTAAAGTTACTTACACTGGACAACAAAGAAACATAATCCCGATGATATCAGACAAATATAACATTTGGCCTTTCAGTAAAATATTCCTCAATCCCGGTGTACTATCTCGTCTGCTAGTATATGGAGAAATACTTTTTCCATCTATTTCAATAGAATCGTTCGGATTTGCCGCCGCTTGCACCACGAGGTTCTGACTTTCTCCATTTGCTCTGGCTATTTCGGTTCTTAGTACTTCGATTTCAAACATCACAGATTTCAAGTAAAAGCACTATAATATGAAAGTATATTATAAAAATAATTAAATATTGAATTTTATCGTTACATTTTTCCAAGTAAAAGAGATTCCTTTGGGGCGTCTCAATCTGAAAAACTTCAAAACTGGTTCTCCAAGAAGCTTCTCACCTCCTCCAGCAACCTAAAATTTTGCATAATCAAATAAGTCACCTATCAGCTCAGAAATAATTACTTGTACTAATTTTTCTCCGCAAGCTACAATCGACATTGCAGGACTGAAAAGCACGGCAAATGGAAAGAGGACCAAGAGTAAATCGCAATTAAATGGTGGTAAGTTGCTTATGGTACGAAAATGGGCTTCTTCTTTAACTTGTTTAGCTAAAATCTAATAGGAAAATTCAAATGTAATTATATTGGCAAATTGTTTAATTTGCTTACGTATTGGGTATTATCAAAGTTTAAGCGAAACGTAACAATGACGATAGTTTTTCCATCCACCTGATTTGTTTCGGTTTTAAGCACGTGACTTTCCAGTTTTAGATTGAAACTTTCGGTTGCAATTTGATCCAGCTGACCTAAATCAAATATTTGGGATGTTTCAACTTACAAATCATAGGTAGCTTACCCATCAGGTAATGAGTGAATCCCATTCGTTTACTTCTGTAAACCAAAACGCACCCGTTTTGATCAACTTTAGTCAAATACATCGAGGGACTTTTCATTTTTGGATACGACAATCTGAATTGAGAATGTATATTGTCGACGTTTTCCAAAAAATCGGTGAAATTTCTTCCTGTTGCTTTTATTGTTGCATCGTATCTAAACATCAACGTAAATAATTAGATGAACTAGAACATTTTCTAATGTTGAAATATATTTATCTTGGTATAGTAGGTACAATAAATTTGTGCATATAAAAGCCTCTCGCGGGAAAGTTCTCGGGTAGTTTTGATTTTCTCCTTCATAAAGGATTTTTTTTAAGATGCTGGATCCGAATCTGAGGTTTGATAACAGAATTTCGTGACGCAATATTGAAAAAAATTCAAAAAAAATTGTAGTTTTAACAGACTTTTGCGTATAACTCGAAAACTGTCCAATTTTTGGAAAAATACCTTTATTCAAAATGAAAGTAAATAAAATTTTCTATGAACTACATTGATTACTTCTTTTGTAGGAGAAACTGTTTGGGCTCAGTTGAAAATGGTCGTATTTTATTTCGAAGGGATTACTTCGGAGTTAAAATACAATGATAACGACCGATGTATCAAGTTTGTTTATGCATACTTACTGTTGAAAATGCCCTCGAACTTGTGTTTTAGTTGTGATGAAGAAATGATATGAGAACACAACAACGGTGCGGGAAAAAGGTTTAAATACGTTTATTGTGTCATGTAAGAAGAGGAGAGATGGTGAGCATGTTCAGTTAAGCAAAAAAAAACGAAAGTTGTGGTTCATGAGCATTGTCGTAAGAATTATACTAATGGAAGAATGATTGCCGCTCATTTAAAGAAGGTAGAGCGAGGCAGGAATCAGGTTAAAAGACGTTCAACTGATTTCTCTACCAAAACTCATTGCTTTATGTGTGGCTTCCTTATAACCCTCGAGCTTATAGAACAACGAAGAAGAAAGAAATCCAATCGCAATATTGTGTATCAGGTTTAAAATTTAAAGGTCATTGAAATCAGTATAAAAAGAGCATCAGAACGCGGTGATAATTACGGACAAGCCATCATCAAGCGTTTTCTACCTGTCTCAGACTTGGTGGCCTCTGATTGTCAGTACCACAGTTAATGCATGAGAAAACTGTACAATCGCCCAAAAATCCAAGACAAGAAACCAAGAAGTCCATTCGCCAATAATTTTGAAGCAGCAATGGAAGATGTCTACAGTTATCTTGATGGAGAGAGAGTGATGGAGATTGCCAGTTTTCGTACGAAGAGTTGATTGACCAAATCAAAGGAGATTATTGTCCTGACAAAAAAAAAAACAGTCAAAACTCATCTACTGAAAAAATATGGAAGCGATATACTAATCACTTTTTCCCCAAACAAGGCGCAGGTAGCATGTTTCAAAAACACAAGATATTATAAAATTTTAACTGATGCTTCGTACCAGCAAGCAATGAAAAACGAACAGGACAAGAGGAAAGACTCCGAATCGTTAAGGCAGCTGCTGCAATTATTGTTGACGATATCCAGAACCAGGCTAATGACACAAAACAGTACCCCCCACCTAATAAGTTTTTAGATAAAAATAAAAAACTCATTCCAGAAACCCTCCCTACATTCTTGGAAACAGTTGTACTGAACAAAAAATGTGAGGACCATGATATTTATAAGAAAAAGAGCACAGTGATGGCGCATAGTCTTGTTGCAGCGGTAAGGCCTAAATCGTTTATCTCACCTATTTTAGTAGGGTTGGCAGTGTTCCTGTACAAGAAGTACGGCTCAAGAAAATTAGTTGACGTAGTGTCTTCATTGGGATTTTGTTCATCTTATACAGAAGCTGTACGTCTGGAAGCATCAACAATCAAGGGTGATCCGCTGAAAGTTGATCAGCCATGCTTTTCACACTTTCACAGCACGTTAACGATAACGCTGATTTCAACGTATATACGATTGACGGATACAACACCTTTCACGTCATGGGTGGCATTTCCTGTATTGCCCCAAAACAGGCAGTAGCCCCCAATAAATTCATTCCTCGACTCAAAATGATCGGAAAAACACACTCGCCTGAGTTTTCCGGAAGTTACGGAGCAATTGAACTGAGACATCTTGAGAGAACAAAACCTAAAAGGCTTAGCTGAATTGAAGATAAACGATCTTAATGAAATGTTTATATCGAGTGAAGCTTGGATCCCCTCTGTGCCTGATCTTCTGTGGCTCTATGGTTGGAATGGATTTATGGAGGATATTAAAAAAAACATACAATATGAAGTAGCTTTTATCAGCTATCAACCATTTATCAATGCTCCTCCAAGTGAATATGATACAATATTTACAGCATTGTTGGCCGGAGTAGAGAAGACCAAATCTTTATACTAAGCTACCTGCCTAGTGACCTTTGACCGACCTCTCTATTTCAAGGCACGAGACATTCTTGCCAGTCGTAATAAGGCTAGAAAGATTCCATTCACTGATGTCGTTTATGGGGACAATTGGTTTCATTACGCGGAGTAGTGAATTGACTGAACTTTTCAATACAATATTTGCAGTAAACTCAACTGAAAAAATCATGACGGGCCGCGCATATGCAAGGGCAGTACGAGCTCATATATTGGCCCACAGAACTTTGGTCAAAATAAATTTTCAGTGAATGGTCCTGTAAACTAAAATGGTCGATCAATTGGAAGAAATCTTGTTTAACATGAACAGAACAGTGATTCTTTCTAATGATGTGAAAGAGATTGCAAAAGATGTGCAAGGTAAATTTAAAAGTAAGCTTCTATTTTTGGCAGAACGTGGCCTTTACTGCCAAGCTCTGGACAGGGCCGCATTAGCCTAGGGCCCGTTTAAAAAGAGGGCTCGCTCCTCCATATCATAAATCATTTAGAGGTACTTTTCTGCTTCACGTTATCACCGTTATAGTCACGAGTTCTTGAAGAATAATGATTTCCACGAGAATGACAGCAGACTTTCATTAAGACTTGTCTCGTCTAGCCAATGAAATAAGAAGTGTCTCGCAGCCTCGAGTGTCGTCTCGTCTAGCGTCTCGTACGAGAGTCTCGCAAATTTCTACTTTGTCTGCAAGCACAAATATTCACCTACGAGACTCCAGGGACTTTATTCTCGAAACCGAGAAACAGCGTTCTCATGAAAACGATTGCTCTGTCATTGTCAGTGTTATGAAAATATGAATACGAACGACGAAGACAGAACCTTCGTTCTCATGAAAACGCTGCTGCCCTGTGGCCTCCAATTGTAGAATAATCTCGCATACGAAAATTGATATGATTTCGAACGTTCCCTATTCAATTTACGTTGCTCTGATTCAAATTCGAATCAATTTTCGTTGCGAGAATATTCAAGAATTGACCCTGTTTCGAGAATAAAGTCCCAGACATCTCGCACGAAAGCAATAAAAGTCCCGTCTCGTCTTGTCCAAGTATCGTTTTCAGTCTGTCTGAGACTCTCGTAGGCACCAACACAGATTAACTGAAACTGTAAATGGCAGAGCTATGATAATACCTACAATAAGTCTGGTGGTTGTATAATGGTGTTCAAGCATAGTGATAAAATCACATATACCATAAGCTGCTTATATTTCTTCCGCAAACCATTCATTCGCTCAATCTTGTCGTTAACAGTGTAGCAGATCTGACAACTTCTGCCAATTTCTCTGTTTTGTTACAGAATATCTACAACTTTTAAAAGTTTTAAGCAGAGCCAAAAAGCTCCTCACAGTCAAGCGATTATCGGACACACGATGGTCTGCGAAAGCTGACTCAACTGTTTCACTTAAGAATGGGAATGTTTAAATAGCAAGACTTTTTAACTCACTGGTTGCTGACAGGGAAAACAAGATCCGAAGCTAGTGCTTCAGCTGCCAAGTTAATTTCCTGGGATACCGCCCCCGCCCTAATTAGTCAAATGAAGCAGAGAAAATTACGCAGCACCAAAATTACGATGTCATAATTTGATTTGAAAATTTTGAAATATTTCACTTTACCAACAAACTTATGAAGGCTCAGGGAAGCAATCCCGGTTCACACCTCCTTGCAAGCAGTCGAAGATGCTGATATTCTTATAATTACAATAGCATGAAGCTGGCTTCCTCAAATGAATACGTGACAGTGGTGGGATCTTTTGGTGATTTTAATTGGCCTGTGTAGTCCTGCTATGAAAAATGGCTTTTTCATAAAACCGGGAGAAGGAAAGGTGTCTCACACCATCTACGATCCGCACCTACGAGACAAAATGTAATAAAATCAATAGCAAATTCATAATCTCGGTTCAAGTTCATCTTTTATGGGAAAAGTTTTATTTTTATAGATAGTTAAAATGTGACCCTAATGGGATTTACAAACACATTGAGTTCTGGCGAACGACCTAATCTGTTCGGGGGTAAAAATCACTTGAAAGCCAAAAAAGTATCGAATCTTATAGCTTCAAGATTATTTTTGCTGTAACCCTAAATTGACAAATATATAAGCAAAATTTATGTTTTCCTAGATAAACACTAAACTTTTGACTAATCTGTAGATTGCACTAGACTCCACGTGGTTGTAATCATTTATTCAAAGTCAAGGATAATCTTCTGAATACCCACGTTTATGATGAACACAGATGTCAGGTAACTATGATACCGTTGCTGGAAAGAATTATATTCGAAGCATGTGTGTGTGGAGCGAAAAAATGATTACATGAGCTAGATTTTTAAGATACAATAACAAATTGTATAACAATATAAATAGCAAGGGTTATTACTTTGGTGAAATGTAAACTGTAAGATAGTCAAATGCTTAGTTATAATTGAGATATAAGTAGGTTAAGATAGGAGTGATAACTCAATTATTTTATGAATGAATTAATAGAGGATAGTTCAATTCATTTCACACCCTTGATAATTAGATTATAAATTAGGGAACTTTTATTTTATTTACTTGATTAGGTTAGAAATTAGGGAACTTTTATTTTATTTACTTGACTAGGTTATAAAGTAGGAAATAAGAATAGAAAGCATAAGTGATTAGAAAAGGGAAAGGTTTTCAATTGAAAGGGAAAACATTAAATGTTTAATTGATAATTTGACCACATGTAACTAGCGAACTCTGTTGGAGAACCATCAAACTGGATCACAGGGTGGATAGGGAAGGTTGAATAAACTTGAGAACCAATGGGAAAACAACAAGAAACCAGAGGGTACTTTCAGCGAATCGCTGAAAGCTAAGTGGGTTGGAGATCTTCGACTTTGTCGATTCTCAAGCCCGGTACTGAGGGACAGCCAATGGGCTTCTAAAGTGGTACCCAGGGGTTGATTCCTCTTGCTTATTTAAGTAGATGTTGACGCCAGTTATCGCCAATTCGCCACTAGTTATTACTACTGGTTATCGCCGGAAATTTAATTCGCAAGATCTCAACGAGTCCCCGTTTCTCATTCTCTAGTTCATCTGCCGCCCGGTGTTTTAGTAAAAGCTCTCCAAAGAGGTGATAATTTATTTTTAATTTCAATTCCATTAAAGTGTCAGATTTGAAACCAATTCTTTTAATATGGAAAATACTCTCTTTCAATCAATAAAATTAGTTTTTCATTTTCTGGTTCTAAAATTCCCCTTAAAACACTGGTAGTGGCATAGAAAAATCTCACGTGCCGTACACGAGGTACTAATTTTGAGCCTCTAATAACACCTTTCAATGACCATTCCAAGAAGAGAAGAAAGAAGATTTCATTCAGATTGCCTCCGTTTCAGAAAATTGTTATTTATTGTTTCAGATTGAATTTACTTTCCAGCATAATTTACCACGAAATTTTGAGATGTGATAGAATTATTAACGCTACCAAAATATTCTTACATAACATCGCAATTTTGTCACAAAAACCCTATCGAACCATATTTTGTTACTGCACGCGATAAGTGCTTGTGACACAACTTCCGCCCTGTTCAACCACAGAAAATGAAAATTTTTCAAAGTCCTGCAAAGAAACAATGACTTGATACCAATTATTGAGGCTCTAACAGTGGTCTTGTGCTCGTTATAACCACGTCCAAACCAACACTCAATACTAAAAAGCAGATCTTGCAAATGCAGGAAAGGCTGCCAGCGAAATTGTGGATGAAGGAAGACAGGCCTTTAATGCTCGTCAATATGCACAACATGCAACGGGCTGTGTGAAAACGTCAAGTCCCCGGATGACAGCGTTGAGAATGACGAAGAAGGGACCGAAGAAAGAGACCAAGAAATGTCTGGAGAAGAACGCTCACACGATATGGGAGGAATGTCCAATCGCAAAATCATGAGTTTGTTTTTCATACTTAATTTCTCTTAATTTCCAGCTCAATCTCCGATATTTATAAAAAAATCCGATCTTCTGCTGGGATCTTTCGCTATCGAGGAGCCTCAGCCAGGACCTTCCAAGAGAAAACGCCTTGGATGAACTCTTCTTCTTCTTCCTAGCTGTTCTCTATCCTCTAGATATAGGCCTCTCTCAAATAACATGATACTATGATAATAAAATCAATAATATGATACTATAAAAATAAAGTGATGAAAATAATGTTATTCGGTAATAAATAAGAGTTTTGAAGATAAAATATGGGTTTTTGTGGAGATAGATGAAATACGACCATTTTCAACTAGCGTTTGAACCGAAACAATTTGTCCTACAAAATTTTTTTATCAATCTTATCTATAGAAAATCTTATTTGCTTCCATTTTGAATAGAGGTGTTTCTTCCAAAAAATGGATAGTTTTCGAATTATACGCAAAAGACTGCCAAAACTACCATTTTTTTAGTTTTTTGCATTTTTTTCAATGTTGCGTCAAAAAATTTTGTTAGCAAACCTCAGATTCGGATACAGCACCCCAAAAAACATGAAAAATGAAAGAAATCAAAACTACCCCAAAACTTTTCTACCAAAAATATTATTTGATTGGACTATATGGAACCAGTAACTTGATAATTTCTAAGCTAAGCTGGAATGCTGATAGCCTAGAATTCCGTATTCTCCGAGAAAAATGGCATAAGCTGAACTAATAAATTTGAACAAGACTTTTCTTTAAGAATTTTCTGCCCTTATATCGTTGAGATTAAATGTGGATTAGAAAAAATATGTACCATAAAACTTTAAGCTGAGCATGGATAACTTGCAACATTTGTCTTGAAGCTTTCAAATTTACTCCGGAACAAAATATTATTTTTATCCCAAAAAATCCAACGCCTACATTCCGTAATAAACCGAAACGGTCCGAAAATCTAATCAGGTTTTCGTTGGAAGATAAAAAGGGCCTTTTGTGGCTTATCCAGGCGGAATTTGTGCGTAATATACAAAATTATCAGGTGAATGGACTTTGCACTTGGCAGCAAAAATCTACGCCTCTGATAATAAGTAGATCCTATATCAGGTCATTATCGGTGACTAACCGCCCTTTTTAACATCAAATTGGGAACAAATAAAGTTTTGTTCAGCGGTGTCACGTGTCACGAGAACTTGGCGTGATTTGATCATTAATTAACTCTGGGCCGACCCTAAAACTTCCCTCGCGTAAAACAACACCTAAAAGCCATTAATCAAAAAAGTTTCGAAGCGGTTTTAAGCAGATTGTTTCGAGTTTGACAAAACAAGAAGTGAAAATTGTTATTAGAAATGAAAATGGCACGTTGAAAAACTTCAAATCTCAACATGACATTGTGTTCCATAGTTTATAGACGAGCTTTCGCGGCTACTTTTCAACTTTTATTTGAATTGCGACCTTGCTTGAGAACGGGCCACTCTTCCTTAGTAGCTTGGTTGAGCAAGTCGACATCAGTGACGTCAGCGAGTCCTTCTGATTTTTGGCGAACGTGCTAAGTTTTCTTGAAACTTTCTTGAAGGGGTTAATCCTTCAAACTGTCTCTGTGGTTCGGAATGCCATTTATGGCTAATTAAATAAATAGTTTTATTCGTCGACTCGGCCACCTCTTTTTTGTGATTTTATTGGAACAGGATTTGTCACATAATCCTTTTATATCTTGGACATCCCTTAAGTTTATAATTATTTCTCGAGCCTATCTTTATCTGCAACCACCTCTGTATATGTCAGTGCCTGTATTGTGTAGGTACTAAATCATGGTATACGAGAAACCTCTTGTTCAGGGTGAGTTATGTACTATTGGGTCTTAATATAAACTTAAAAGACAAGTTTTTTGTCTGTTTCACCTCTCTTTAAATAAAAATGACCATCAGGTATTTAGTTTTCTGATAGGGTCCTACATCCAGGCCTAGTGTTGGTTCCATTCACTGAAGAGGCATGCTTCTCTAAACTTCAAGTGCTCCCACTTCTGAGGTCACTTCGATGGTCCGTGATGGATAGTGCCTATCGTCCTTCATGACACCTCGACTTGGAAGTAGTGAACACAAGATTTTTCACATTTAAATTTCACCTTTTGTATTATATTTTTATTGAGCATTAGCTAAATAGAATGTCTCATTTCTATGTTCAGTTCGCTGTTCGGTTGAGCATATGAATTTTCAGAGCAGATAGACTCAACGAGGTCCTTTTATATTTTTTATCGAGCATTAACTAATTGGAATGTCTCATTTCTATGTTCAGTTCACTGTCCGGTTGAGCATATGAGTTTTGAGGGCAGATAGACCAGTAGACAGGGTCCCAATTTAAATAAAATTATCGATCATTATGACTATTTTACACAATAATATTTAGCTAAGGGTGGTACTGGGTTAGAATCGATTTATTCTTACATTTATGATTCTCATTAAATTGACATCCTAGATTTTGTAATTTTTCATTGAACTTTTATTAAACATAATTAAGTGGAGAGTGTTGCTGTATTATTTCTTTTTATACATAATATTTCAGATTTAATATTGAGGTCTATTTCGAAGTTTGAGACCTTATAAATAAAATCTTCGTGCCGCCCTCAGTAAACACTCCTTATACATGACCAGAAATGCTTTCCGATGAACAGCTGCCGGGAGCAATAACATCTTTTTAATCCAAAGTATTTAAAAACGTTACAACTTTTAAGCAAATCAAATATGATTACCAAAAAAAAAACCTGCCTCTAATGCAAGTAGCAAATCAATCCTTATCTTTGAATCTTTGCCTAAAGCTGCACCTAAATACAAGTTTAACTTTGTTTGTAGCCTAAAAAAGGATTTGCCTCAAATGCTTTCCAGAGGAGATAAGATTTAAATCCTCCCCCCTAAATATACCCTAAAATTGACCTTTTTATTTATAGAAAAAAAGCTCTCTGATGTACATCAGTAGATACATTAAAAGAAATACTTATCCATCAGAAGCCTCAAAAGCAAAAGGAATGTAAGAGTATAAACAAATTCTTACCCGTAGTTGCTGAAAAATCGTACAAAACAGTGTCCGAAAAAATTCATAAAACTGTCATAGGATTTCGAAGTTAATTCAGCCAAAGCTGAAGCTATGTTGCTCATGATGTAGTCTGGATAAACTTGATGAGTGTTGAACACGGTAAACTTACAATCGGCCAATACGAGAGCTTTTTGCCAAATTTCGTCGCCATATTCTTGCTGAAAGAAAAAAAAAGGATTTAATTTGTTGTTGAATATTATGATTTGGATCTATTTTGAATTGTGTGTAAATAATAAAATCTAAATTGTGAATCGATTTATATTGTAAATAAGGAAAATTGGAAGCATTCAGTGTGAATATTTTCCATAATCTAATCGGTTTCTCGTCAGAATAAGAGCCAAACTTCTGTTTGTGACGTCTTTCAAGAAAACCCTTCGTAAAGGAATTTCAATAATGTGGAGCAGTTTTATTTGCGAGTTTCGCATGACGTTCGGAAAATTCTGAAACAATTTGTTTGCTTATATTAAGTGAGGAAAATAGCTTTAGCTGTTCAAGGAATGTCGCAAAATTGTTTTTGGCGAATCAGAACATAAAACCTAACTACGTTGGTTAGGTACCTATTTACGGCCAATGATATCCAGGATCTAGGCATAATCTACCATATATGGTTTTTAGTCACTCAATGACCATTTAAGTAGGTAAATAGAATATACTCTGACGGTGCGCTTCCACCAGGGTATACAGAATCCATGACTACAATTCCAGAAAATACTGCCTTGTTCAAGAAAGGAGGCTCTCGCCTTTATTCTGGATTTTGCAAGAATGAATTTCGGATATATAAAGGCCGGTATCAGTTAGTAGTTTTTTGTTTTAAGATTGGCTTATTATATGATTTAGATAGTGAATATTGTAAAGTTATGAAGAGTTAAGTTGTTTGAGTAAATTAGTGAAGTATCTAATTAGTGTCAAAGTGTATTGTAACGTGCAATAAATTATTGTTGTGTTAATTGGACAGTGATTTTGGAATAAACGGTCCCAAGATTTCTATCAAACAAGCCAGAGCCGTGACATTGGTGTCAGAAGTGGGCTTTAATTTGAGGCCTGCAAAGTGAAATCCGATTGCAGAATAGTGGGGAAACTAGTGTAGTGTAGTGTGGACACTGAATAAACACTGGGAAAGTTAGTCAGTGCAAGCAGTGACAATCACAAGAAGAGACTTAACCGATCGTGTAAATTACCCCGGAAATGACTGTATACCTGATTTTGACTGTGATAGTGAATTTTCAAATGAGTTCTAGGAGATTCTATTTGGAAATCAAGGGAGATATCGAATTTTTGACTTCACCGACGTGTTTGCTATATCCAGGGATGCTATTTCTAGTACAATTGTACTAGATCTAGCACAATCACGTTTCACCTAGTACGCTAGTACCTCTTTCATAAATCTAGTACAATATGGATTATGGATTACAAGTCGAGTGTGGCTCTTCGCTCTGTACCGTACCCGAGTTCTGAGCTCTACTCTCTACTTGTGGGTTGGGTTCCACGTTCCAGGTCCCACTCCGGTGCGGCTAAAGCCAAACCAGAAATTGGCGTTTCGAATGTACACGCACTTTTTTGTTCTGTGACTTGACGTGTGTCATGTATCGGGGGCTATTTGGTTATTCAGCCCATCACGGTAATCGGTAGTCGATTATTTATAACTAAATATGTAGAAATTTATTTATTTCTATCAATCAGAGCCGGTTTCTCAGTAGCGAGTCACCCCCGGGTTGAGCATAACTCCAGGGTAAACATTGCAACTGGACATGTTCACCCTGAAGGGAAAACCAACCCGGAGGTGACTCACTATTGAGAAACTGACCCTAAAACAAGTGATATTTACCCCCAATTAGCAGAGCCTACATTTGTATTCAAATTTCAAAATTTGACGTGCTTTCAGCTAATACACAATGTTGCCAATCTAGTACAATTATTCCTTACTTTCTAGTACAATTTTTTTAGTGCTGATAGCATCCCTGGCTATATCAATCGACATCCAGAAAAGACAGTTCAACAAAATTCTAGAACATCCTAATCGAGAATGAAGTAGGTTATCCAATTTGTGACTTCACCGAAGTGTTTGAAACTTCAATCAAAAACCACGAGAGATATTTGAAGAGATTTTGGGGTCGGGTGATAAAGCCGGGCAGGTTATAAGGCCATCTTGTTCAAAAAGCCATTAGAATAAATAGTTAATAGATAATGTTAACCTGGCCTTATTACCCGATAGTACCTTACATGCCTATTACGAGACAATAACCAAAAATGGAAGAACAAAAAATTATAGAACTTTTGCGCAAAATGTTGGAACTTGAAGAGACCAAACAACAACAAGAAAAACAAGACGAAGAGGCCAGGGACAAAAATAAAGCCAAGAAGACATTGGACAACTACAGAAAATATTTCAAACCATACACGGATCTATCGCTAACCTATAGAACAGAAGATTAAGGAAATAAAAGCTGAAGTTAAGGACGATGTTCAAGAAGGTAAAGACGATGTTCGAGCAGTTAAAAACGACGTTCAGGGAGCAAAAGCTGAAATCAAAGCCGATGTTTAGCAATTAAGACAAGAAGTTGAGGACCTAGTTCAAGCACTTGAAGATGAGGTGAATGAATTAAAGATACAGTCCATCAATCAAGAAAGTGTTAGAGCATTTTCTAGTATGAAGACAAAAACCACCAACTTTTGACGGTTCTACGTCTGGACCATGTATATTCGACAGTTTGAAGCTGCTGCAAATACCAACGGATGGAACGATCAAGAAAAAGCTAAAGCACTGATAGTGGCGCTACGAGGATCTGTCATAGATCTTCTTCAGTCAGTTCTTTTAATCTACCAGCAAAATTACCAACATCTAAGTCAGACGTTAGAATTGCGCTTCGGAGACCATTACAGACAAGAAGTATTTAGAACTCAAGTTAAATCAAGACTTCGAATCGGAAGTTAAAAAGCTAGTGAGTTTGGCGTTTCCTGCAGCTGAGGAAGACATGTAAGAATGAATGGCATTATCTACATTTATTGATGGTCTCAGAGATTCCAAGATCCAAGAAAACCTGAGAATGTTCAAGTTCAGAGAAAGTAGCGAAGCCCTTGTCCGAGCATTGGAACTGGAAGTAGTCTTTGGTGCCTCACGACCCAGACTGACTTGAGTGTTAGAAAAGCTGAGGGCGTATCACTAGCTCGTGGCAAAGGAATGAACAAAACAGAAGTCTCGTCGTACTTTAAGTTATTGGAAATAACATTAATGGAAACTGGTTTAATAAACATGCCTGGTCACATATGTAATATGAATAAGACGGGTCTGCAATATGAACAATCAGCTAGGTTATGTTATTGCAGAGAAAGGCTCAAAAAATGTTGCTGCAATCACATTATTTGAAAAGGGAGAAACAATAACAGTGATTTTGTGTTGTAATGCAGAAGATTATTACAAACCGCCTGCGTGTATATTCAAGGGTAAAAATAAAAAAGCGGAATTTGAAGATGGTATGCCTCCAGCTCAATTGAATGAAAAATCAGCTTACATCAATACTGATCTTATGTTTACTTGGTTAAAAGATCAGTTTATTCCAAGTAAACCGGAAGGAAAGGTTCTACTCTTACTGGATGCCCATGCCAGCCATTGTAATTCTGCAGAAGTGCTGGAAAACGCCGATGATCACGGTGTTATTCTATTTTGCTTACCTGGTGATACCACCCAGCTTCTTCAAACCTTAGACAGGTGTTTTTTTAAGAGTCTCTCAAAGCATTGTAATACATTTTGTGAAAGCAAATCCTATTAGGAAGATATCTCGCTTACAAATTGGACAATTGTTATCGGCGGCGTGGTCGGAAGCTGCGACGGTTGAAAATGCTGTGTGTGCTTCTAAATCAACAGGCATCTGTCCTTTCAATCCTGGGGCTATACCAGACTATGCCTACCTGGGGTCTGAAGACAGTGGCGCACCCAAGGGGGGGGGGGGGTTTCGGGGTTTAAACCCCCCCCCCCCCCCCGAAATTTAGCACTGGTACAGAGAATTTTCCGGTAAAAATATTTTTTTTTGCGATTTCGGTTAAGAGGGGCGTTTAAATAAAATGTCATTTACAGGCCTTCACATATTTCTGTTCAATTCCAAATTTAGACCACTTTTCAGTGAAATGAAGTTATGTTCATAACAATAATAGATTGGAGTATTATTCGAAGCATTTTTGGTTGCAAAATACGCATTCTAAATATTTAGTAAAATTATAACCATTGAATATTGTTGACAACAATATGCAAATTTTGGTCATGGATTTGAATGAAAAAGGGACGAATACCTAGAGTAGCACACGAACAATAAATTTTCAAAATTTTGGATAGTAAAATGCTGGAAAAAAAGAATAGGACAGAATTTTCGAAAATTATAATGTTTTCATCACAAAATTAATCAGAATCTGCCAAACAACGAGGTGATTGCTTCATTTTCAGCAGAGACTCAAACCAAACGTGTGCTCAGCGCTTCTCTAAAAGATGTCGCTGAGTTCGGGAAGGGTAGTCACTTCTTTCAAACGCCAGTAAAAACTGTTTTACCTAGCTAAAAATGTGAAATACCATTATTTCATTTGCATCTGAATAAAATTATTTAGTCCACTGTAAATTACTGTGTAAATGAATTGATATTGAAGATGTCGCCATCTACTTGTAAATAAATCAATCACTTACAGAGAATTTGAACACCTGTGATTAAAAAATATTTAATGTATGCCATAAAGCCCAAAAGATGGCGCGCGGGCTCTTATCTGACGCCCCTCTTAATAGGTACACTTGGCCAAACATAAAACTGGTACAGTCAATAGCTATTTTTTAAATTTGCCTAGTGTGAGTCTAGCTTAACAATAAAATGTTTCTTCTAAAAAACTCAGGTTAGACAGTTTTTGACATTCGACATTGTCGAATGCATTTGCGGTGGCATTTTGTTCGATTTAAAGATGACACTGACTTGATTCTTTTTGACATTTTTGAGGTGATAATAAAGGTCGATTTACACAATACCTACAAAACATAGGAAAATGCATGTATAGTAGGTATTTGTAATACCCATTTAGGGGCTGATTCTGTAACTCATAACGACGTCGTTAATGAGCGACAATCGGTACTGAACGACATTAGTATTCTGTATCGAACGATAATCGTTACTGAACGACTTTACTT